TTTTCACAGCTGGGTTTTGCAGCTTCTTATTTTTGGCTTTTTTTTACCCAAAACTGTGAAAAAAAAGCTGAAGCTGAATGTTTACCAAACACAAAAACAGCTCCCAGCTTTTTTTGATACCAGCTTTTTCAGAATCACCTCAGTACCAAACCAGGCCTTATAAGCCCTTCTTTAGGGTTATAAAGTCTGAATGTATACTCTCGTTTCAGGGCAACTTAGCAGAACAGTATTCGTACACCCTCGGTTTTTTTGAGCTTCTATTTCCATGCTCTTCTCATGTTTTCTTATTTGTGTGGTCACAGTTAAGGCACGTCAATATTTTATATTCCTATTACTTTTTGTTTTATTATTTCTATAAAAAATTAATATAAAATGTTGACGTGCATTAACTGTGACCACACATCACAAGAGGGCATAAAGAGAGTGAAAATGGGAGGGCAGACAATCCACCTCCTTTGTTTCCTACTAATCTTATAAGGAAATAATAAACATATTATTCTTCTTTTTGTACGTACTCGTGTTTAACTTTTCATTGAATTTATTCAATTTGACAACGACAACAAAAATCGAGGTCTCAAAGGGTCGAACGACATTTGGTTTGGTCCTCTAAAGAAATTTAAGGTCTTTATCATCATCTAGTGATCTAATCCATATTGATGCTTGCTGCCCATCAATTATTTGAGGTCTCTGTCCATTTCATCGATTAATCGTTTTCATCTTCCTTCCGACATTAGTAAATAGTAATGGTTGCCTTACTCTGCACAACTAGTTTGCTTCAAGCATTTCCCCTAACATTTTTTTATGATAGGGTTCAATTTCACAACAAGCTAGAGCATCAAACACTGAAAACTAACGAAATGGCTTGAAAACTTTAAGTTTTAATCAAAATGACAAAAATGTGTTGTAAGTGAATAGTACCACGAGTGACTTTTTAGAATAAAAATGTCATTTTCGTTAAAAGTTAACAATACTATGAGTGTTTCGTTAAAACTTTCAAAATTAAAATGTGAAGTAATTAAAGTAATAACATGTGCAGTATGGATTCCTAAATACGTAGGTGACAGGTGACATACGTTAGATTAATGGGGTGTGCTATCCACACACCCCATTTTACTTCTCACACACCCCTTGATAATTTATGTTCGTTGATCTTCTTCAATTCATTTGATCCGACGACCGAAAATTAAAAAGATGTGTGAGAAGTAAAATGGGGTGTGTGGATGTGGATATCACACCCCTAGATTAATAGATCCCCTCTTCCTTATCTTATAAACATACATATATAGATGAACAAGGGAACTTGGGCACCGTAGTGCAAACATAAGTTCCGTTGGCATTGTTTCAAGACGCAAAAATCTTCATATCCACCATTGCTGACATTGGAGCAACTCCAACGTGAGAAAGGCCTCCTAGGGTAATTTCCTATTCAATCTCCTTCAGTGAACAGTAACTACCTTTAATGAACAGTAATTGCCTTTTGTATCTCCACCCCTAAACTGAATAGCCAAGGCAATCGGCAATAAAATATTAGTATTTTTTATTTTATAAAATAATGAAAAATAATTTTATCATTTCCAACTGCCTGTAATGTATCGAGCAGCTTCTGTCAAGCTAGGACGCCCTTCCTATCAACAAATTAGGAAACTGCAAATAAGTACCTCAACCCATAAACCAAACATTGTACCCAATCTCTCCAATAGCAATGACAATGGTGAATTCAAATCAAACCAAGAAAAAAATCTCAAATTGTTTTTTCTTCAATTTGGACAAAAAAAGGGAGAAAAATGCAATGAGGGCATTGAAAAATGAGCTCACCTGGCGACCGTCGATCTCTTGGGTCAAGACTCAAACGTGCTCAACAGCTCTCGCTTCCGAGAAGCGATCGAGAAGGGCATCGATCTCGAGCGACTTGATGAAGCGCATGTAGAGTATAAAGTGAACCAGCGTCGTCATGAGGCCAGGCCTCCCCTCCAAACCCAATCACCCGCTTGGGTTGGAGCAAGGGAGGGAAGCTATTGGATTTTTTTGGTCGCCTGTCCACCAGGCTATAGCCTCCTGTGGAGTTGCTCTTACTTATATTAATCATATCCATCAGAACATTATGACAGCCATCAGATACTTGGCCCCAATGGAGTTTAACGCCACCTCAGTCGCAGAAGTGCCTTGAAAATCGTTGTACGTCGCATCCGCCACCACCACGGCCGATTGCTAACTTTTGCAATTGTGTTATCCATTACACTAGAATCTTTCACATATATGTTGTCCAATTTATTATTAGCTCCATCTTCTCCCAAGCTTCCAACATTATTTGCAAAAGCAAAAGAAAATTAATCTACGTTCATATTGACGATAATACATGTATATTCTAGTCACATCAATTTTATATTAATTTGGTTTAATCAAGAGAATCATAACACCAATGAAGATTAGATTTGAAAAAATTATCATCAATCTCAGTCATGGCCTACATAACAAGATGTGTTTGCTTCCTAAATTCGCCATGGGCCTTGCGGGCATGCCGATAATTTACTCAAACATGAAATTGGTGGGTGCGGGCGTTCCACTACTAGATGTCGCTAGTAGACAATATCTGAATGATTGAGTGGAAGTGGCTCATATCAAGATTTTTTTGTTTGCCTTAAGGATAAGGACTTTACTTATATGGAGAGGTGGAACAATATGTAAATGGCAGGGTTGTTGGAAGTGCAACTGAAAGAGGAAAGTAAATAATTAGTATTGTAGATTGCTTGTAATTTAAATGACTGAAAATGAGTTGTACATGAACTACAAATGAGATCGATACTACTAGTGAGCAGCAAAGCTAATAAACAAGGAAAGCAATGGATACTTGGCTAAAGCTAAATGTCTACAAGGAAGCTGATAAGCTGATTTGAGTAGAGTTGATTGATTGGTGTGAGTGTCCATAATTCTTTTGTCTCTGCTTCTTTATATAGAGATCTGAAAGAGCTCCCTTGTTGAGAACAATGAACTTGCCCGAAAGAAGCTTGGCCAACTTGCATTGTGAAATAATATTAAAAGGGGAACTTGCATTTCCACCACATGTTTTCACCACTTGCAATAAACTATTAATTAAAAGAAGTAAGTTAGTCTCTTTCACCATGTATCCTCTGTCAGAATGTATGTGTCTTCCCATCCACTTGCATTATGAAAACATGCAATTGTTGTTTAAACAAAGCTCTTGGCAAACCTCCACCACCCATACAATAAGGAAAAACAATATAATAATGTCAAACTACCCCACTTGCAGCCAAATATCTTTCCAAGTTAGTCTTCTTGCACATTAATCCTCCAAATGCCATATTTTACCCAAATGCCCAAATAAGTGAAATGGTGCACATTTTAGGTGCAAACAAGATGGTTGTTAGTATCAAAGGAAAACAAAGAAGGAAAAAGAAAAGATAAAGTAAGGAAATGAAAAATTAACACTTCTGTAGGCACACAGCTTCATCTCCCTATCTCGGTTCTCCTTCTTGGCTAGCGGCTCATCGAACTCACTAACAACTACTTTGCGCCCCGCAAGGTAGTTGTTCACAAAATGACGGGTTTATCGGCTTAATGGATCTGATGAAATTTGAAAATATTAACACTCACGAAAGTGTTCAAGTTTTAGTAATTGCTAAACATTGTTACAATGATTGAATTTGGAAATTGAAATGAACAATATTGTTTATGAATTTGGGGTTACAGACACATCTTAGCATGTTTATCAAATTTTTAATCTTTTTAATCTTATGACATTGTGCATCAAATTTTTAACCCTTGTAATCCTATGACACTGTTCTTTACTTTTAGGGTGCCCTGAGTAGTAATGCTCTTAAAATTTGTCTAAATAGGTAAATTGATTTAAATGGCTAGGCCCAGTTGCCATTCTCCGTTTTGAAATGCAGATTTGGTCATACCGCTTTTGTAATTGGTGGCTATGAGGGTTCCTTAAAGCAAAAATAGATTAAAGCCTGCTCCATTTTGCATGCTCTGCTCCCAAAATATATAGACTTGCGAGGGGTGGTTGGTCCGCAAAATCCTTGAGATTCAAATGTTTAGAGTCCAAATTTCAAAGAGAAAACTAATAAATAGTAGTATTATTTTAAACCAAGAGGCCAATCACAATGCGACATGTGTCAACATCATAATAAAGCTCCTAGAGTCTCACATCAATCATGAATGAAAACGAGGGACTCTCCTCAACTATAAAAGAAGACCATTGGCATTACTGTACTTAAACTCGTCATTATAACCCACTAGTGATGATTATGCTTAAACATATGTATTGTGTAAATTCTTCACTATTAATCAGAACTCATCTACCCCGTGGACATAGCCAAACGTAGGGTGAACCACGTACATCTTGTGTTTACTTCCCTATCTATATCTCTGTACATATTATCCACATCAGGTGATCGAAGCAATCATGTGAATGTCACAAACTTGACATTTCACGTTGTTCCAAAGTCTCATTAAATTTATGCATCAACATTTGGTGCCGTCTGTGGAAACAACACTTATTTCTACTCTCACCAGCTTCGTCAAGCTAGTTTCCATTGTTTGTACACTTTCTTTTGATCAGGCATCCCTTTCCAACATGGGGAGCAAAGGAAGCCACAACACACAGAACAACACCCCTTCGTGCTTAGTGTGAGGCAGCGAAGAAAGGAAATAAAGAACTTTGCTCTTCAAGCTAAGGACAAAGAGCCCGAAGCTCAAAACAATAAGATAGCCATCAAGAATGAGATCTTCCATAACAGTACGAGAAGCTCTTCGGGATGCTTAATGAGGCTAGGCAGACTCAATCTCACAAGCCCATTGCCCCTGTGGATGTTAACCATCACATGGGTGGCCCCAAAACTGAAGGTCACCTGTCTTAACATATGGCGTATATGCAACAAAGTAATGCATATAACAGGTGAAGGCACTACGAATCATCCTCATCTGAGGCCAAACTCTCGCTAGCATCATGCTGCATCCACCTCCATCGGCATCACAACCACCATTGCCATTTCCAATACCATCTTCACCCTGCTGAGTCTGCTTGTCGGCACTGGCATCATCCTCATGCTCCACCTCCTTCTGGTATTTCTCAAAGCATGACCAGTTAATGACACCTTCACCATGGTATCGCTCGAGAATAGCCACCCCTCATGCCGAATCTCTTGGGGTGTAGTAAGGCCTTATAAACTTGTGGAAGTCTGAGTGCCCAAAAACTCCTGCACGGCATCTTCCCTCTCATCAGGGAGACTCTTTTTTAGCTCAGAGACCTTGACTAAGGCACTATCTTACTCCTCTCTGACATTGGACGCCTCAAAGATAACCACCTCCAGCTGCTTTTTAAGCCTTAGGTTATCCTCATCTCGCCGCTTTACCCTCTCCAAAGCTTGGTCCTTGAGCTAGATGGCCTCAATCCGAGGCTTGCGCTCCTTCTTGACGGCATCCACTAGCTTCTTGTCTTCTCGAAGCTTTTCATTGCATTGCTCGACCGTCATTAGCCTATCATCATACTCGATCATGACCTACATGACAGGATGGTCGTTAGTGTTAAAGGAAAACAATGACAAAGAAAAAAGAGGATAAAGTAAGGAAATTACAAAATAACACTTACAAAGGCACATAGTTTCATCATCCTATCACGGTCCGACTCATTCTCAACTAATGGCTTGTCAAACTCACCAACAATTACTTGGCGCCCTACAAGGCAATTGTTCACATACCAAAAGCTCATAGCAACCTTCAAATCCCGCCAAGAGATGCTATCGACCTCTTCCCTATCAAGCCATTTTTTTAACCCAAATTAGCAACAAGATTCATGGAAACGAGCACTTCCCAACACACGGTAAGGACTGAATGCCCATTTCCGCGTTCAGGTTCGAAAATTCTACTAAAGAATATTAATAACAAAAATCTTGTAAGGCAGGTGAAAAGTTGAGAGAAATGCTAGACAGTCTACTTACCATTTCTCTTAAAATAAATTAGTAAAACACAGAAATACCATTCCAATGTCCCCATTCGTCTTAACCTCGATATTCTAGAACAAAAGACTAAAATTCCGCTCCCATTTCCACGTTTGCTCTTGCAAGAAGTCGTAACAACAAACGTAAATACCAAACAGATCTGAAAAAATAAATTAGAGAAAAGTAAATTTATGATTGAAAAGTGAACTTTACCTATTTAATTACCGATGCCACCAAATCCCATATTTTTGTGAGACAAGTCATTGCACTCCCGTCCTCATCATCTGACTCGGTTGAGGAATCAGTACATGAAGTCGACATAGATAATAAGATGGAGAATGTTTTTCTTTTTAATTTCTGGTCAGGAAATAATTGTAGACAAGGAAGAAGGTTTCTGGAAAATGAATGGCTTCCAAAGAGGCGGAAGAGAAGCTTAAAAGCCGTTCCTTAGGGTTATAAATCTGAATATATACTATCGTCTTAGGTGTATTTGGCAATTTCTTACACGATCCGTTAACATGACACGTACATGATACGAAAATAATAAGTTTTGGATCAATAGGATAACTAATCGGATCGTTATCGGGTTACACGATAAGAACCCGTTAATAATGAGTTCTTAATAAATTTACACAACAATGACACGTAGATAATCTGTTTTGACATGTTAAGAAATAAGTTATTTTGATGATTTTAATTTTTTAAACTACTAATGAACTTACTATAAAGTACAATGGCCAATATCTCATATTGTATATTAAATATGTATCATTGTATTATTTATATAAATTTAAAATTTTAAGTTTTATTTATTTATTTAGATAGTATCCTGGTAAGATTAAAAAAAATTATAAAACAAATTAAAAATAAAATATCAAATAATTTAAAAATACCACACACATTAAAAAAATTATAATAATTAATTTACAACTGAGAAAAATGTGAAAAAGATATGCAAAGGCTCATGATCGCATTCTCTACACTTTGAGTATAGGTAATCATTGTTTCAATTTTTAAAGCCATACAAACCCTCATGAATAGCTTTTTAAGGGAGTTCAAAATAAATAAATTCATAATTATTAATGTACAAATGTGAAAACATATATAAACGTGCAAGGTTCCTCAACCTTGAAACGTAACTCCCTTCATTTTCCATATCCTTGAACATTTGGTATTTTATAGTATTGTACTAATGTTTTTTTCATTAGACTCTTATTTTAGAGTATATAATACTTGAAAGACAAATGTTTTATTTTATTTTATTTTTATTTTTTTATGTTTTGAAGTTATATTTATGTGACAATGTGATATACATAAACTAATTTAGTATTATGCTTTCTTTTTTCTTCTTTTTTTTTTTTTGGTCAAATTATGTTTTTCATTTTCAATATCTATTGATTTATTTTAATAGGTACAGATAATGGGTCAGGCCATATTACCTGATAATATTAATTGGTCGATTTCAGGTCGGGTCATATTACCCATTTACTTTAATAAGTGTTACACGACACGACCCATTAAGATATCGGATATGTTACGAAAACGACACGAACACAGAAAACAAGACACGAATCCTAGGTATAGTTTTAGGGAAAGCTAGCAAAACTTTGTTCCCTGAGTTGTGAGTTGTATTGAGCATTTATTTATTTATTTTTTTTTTGGAAATCAGGATAACACAATATCCGGGAATATTGTGAGTTGTGAGTTGTATCGAGCATTTGGATGATTGAGTTGGGCTTCAACATTGGGTTTAGTCCTCTAAATAAATTTAATTTGGGCCTTTAATTTGACCGTTCAAATAGTTGAGGACTGAAAGGAAGTGAGATTTGAAAGAGAAAGAGTCATACTCATTTCGTTTTAGGTGAAGCACTTCTTGCCACAACTTTTGTTTCTTCATAATTTTACCAGGAAAATGGTAAACATGCTCATTACTCATGTTTAATCATGATCATTATTTTCGTTAAATTTGTTCAATTTAATTGTCAAAAATAAAGAAAAACGTGTACAAGATCAAAAGTGTGTAGAACAAAATCATTTGCTTGTTGCATTAGAAATTCGATAACAAAGAGGTCCCTCAAACCATTCTATTGTCACGAATGAAACATGGTAGCGGTAGCACAGGTGGTTTAGTTGGCTGTGGTGGCGTGATTGATTGCGACAGTGGTGTGATTTGCACTGGTGGTGGCAGCGGTGGCATGATTGGCAATGGTGGTGGCGACGGTGGCATGATATCTGGGGTGATTGATGGCAGTGAAGGTGGTGGCGACGGCAGTGGCATTACCTGTACCAATGGCAGTGGTAGGATTGGTATCGTTGGAGCGCTAGTTTCTGGTGTAGATGGTGTCATTGGCGTCGTAGGCTCCGTCGCAAAAGTGCCTTTAAAATCGCTGTACATCACATGCACCACCACCACCGCCGACGGCTGACCTTTGCAATTGTGATGCCGATTACAATAGGACAGATCTTGGAGATTTGAGTCCGAGGAGGGGGTTTGGGTGGGAGAGTTGAGGTCGAAGGCCAAGAATTCGGGGAGGTTTGTGTCTTGGACGTACTGATGTATGACATGAAATTCGAGGTACGATTCAAAATATGGACATTCGAACAGGGAAAAAATTCGAACACAGAACTTTGTATAATTTAGATGTCGAAATGGGGTTTTGTAGTATGCACCGGAACACGTATACAGCCGGATCCTTGGCTGAACATTCATTTCTTCTTATAGCTCCGGTCCAAGCCACACACCGGCGCATAATAGAATGTTCGGGCTAAACAATCAAAAATGAAAAGGAGACGCATTCAAATTTCAATTGTAAACAACGAGGAGAGGAGGTAAGGCATCAGATCGATAGCTAGTTCCAGGACATGCACTCTAGACATAAATTACTACTGAATTCAAAGTCGGAATACATGTTCATAACTTGCAACTAAACATCACACGAAGATAACGAGTGTACCGTTGCATGTCGCCCTGCAAATACTCCTTTTGCTTATCCTGATGTGAATGATAGTTGAAGCAGCACTCATCCAACCATGGTGCGCTTTCGGCCTCGTTGTCTCACTGTAAAAATTGTGAAGTCGTAAGAAAACTTAAAAGGAAAGAGGATTAAAGAAAGTATAATGGAATTCTAAAGCCATATTTCAGATTGAGAAACAGACTGAGCAGAAACGGGAGGTCACACCTTGAGCTAACTTGTTTAAGGTGGATGACCACTGCTTTGAGGACTTCCGATACGCAGCAAGTATCGGATCCATCTGTACAAGAATGAAAGCATGAGAATAAATTTGATTATTCAACGTAGAGTTTGAATACAGCTTCGAAAACTCAGTCTTTTCCGAAACTGATAAATGGAAATCATGTAAAACTTGTACTCTAACAACTGCTCTAAGATGAATGTCTCGGGCCAAGACAAACTGTTAGAACTCTGTTCAATTCCACCATTTCTGAACTACACTTATTTCATTTTCTTGAAAAATACAAAAGTTACGAACTAACGAAAAGATGAGGCAGATTTTGAAAAACCAAAGATTAACTGGAAAAAGAACAAACTTGGCTTACCACATTCCCACACGAAGAATGCATTGAGAGCAAAGCTCTTTCCAGTACATACAAATCCACAGCTTTATCTTCTGGAAGGGTTGATGTAAAGCTCAGACCGAAATCAATGACAACCTTGGAGAAGAAAATTGTGAATTTGATGCAAATCTGTAAAAGCACTTGAGCAAAAATTGGAAGAACAAAGTGAACATAAGTAAATCACTCACCAACTGATTGGTACTAGCTCTGATTAACAAGTTAGATGTGGTCAAGTCCCCATGAATGAGGCCACCATCATGTAGTTTCGCAATTGCTTGACCAATCTGCATTGCAATATCATCAATGCGTTCTTCAGCAACACTTCCATCGCCTAACCCGAATCTAAGAAATACATCTTTGACAGAAGGACCCTCCACGTATTCAAATGTTAGGGTATGCAGCACAGTGTCTACATGGTAAAGCACTGGAGTATAGACCCCGAGCCGTCTTGCTTTCGTCATGCACCTGGACTCCTGCTCCAACATGTCCATTTTAGCGAAAAATTAGATGGGTATAAAAAGGCTACTAGCGAACTTCGTCACAAAAGTAAAACCTCATCAAGAAAGAAAAAACAAACCGCATTGAGGCGCTTGAGCGTAAGCTTTGCATCCAAAGACGGATGCCTATACTTCTTTGAAAAACGCTCCTTGACAATTGACCTCCTTCCCGCGAAGTCTGACTCAAAAACCCTCTGGAAATAGAGGAATAGAAAAGTTTTAGCCCCAATTTCTTAGCCAGTTCAAATTACACATTAAAATACAAAAACTCACAGCTTCGGCTCCTTGCTTGATCAGAACAAGCGAGCTACCTCCACCATCCGCCTTGGTTTCCATGGAAAATAACTGGGTTCAGATTTCCTGACCAAAAATTTCATGCAAACGATTCAGCTAAACAGAACATAAACAAACACCTTTTTTGCTTTCTGCATGACTACCCAAAACCAAACCAACCATCTCAATGTTTTTACAAACCAATAACATTTCTAACATTACATAATGGGTTTAGATTGGATGGACCAAATTTTCATGCAACCATAAGGATTCAACAAAAGAGAACACTATAAAAGTTACCACTTTTGAATGCTGCAACACCCAAAACCCGGATCCAGAACCTTTATCCTAGGTATCTGAAACTCCCTCTCTAAACCCCACAAAATGGGAACAAGCTGAGCTCTATGGGTTTGGGGATGAGAAGATACCATTTTTATCCCATCTGATGTATCCCGTAGTTTTCTATGAACTTATTCTAAAGTCCGATGTGTGACTTTTTACATTATTCAACAGAAAGATTGAGGTGTGAGCCTAAACGTTTAACCACTCTTGAGTCTTCAGACCAAAACACACAATCTGTTGCACAGAATTCTTCGTCTTCGACATTCTTTTGCCAAAATATTAAAAGTTGTATTGGCTCCAAATGGTAAGACCCAAAGTGTATCTAATAGCAGAAAACACCAAAATAAAACCTCTCGAATATTTTTGACTACTCAACAACAACTACAAACCAATAAAGTTTCCAACTCTCTCTCTCTCTCCCTCCCCCCCCTCCCTCTCTCTCTCTACAACCACAGCAGTCCAAACAAAGATTACAATCAACTGATTGCAGCTCAGCTATAAGCATCCAATGCAACTTACTCAATTGAAGAAAAAACCCAATTAAAAGCACATAGGATAGCATTTAATTACTCGTATAAACCTACAAAATTTTGCAACTTGTGGAACAAAAGGAAACGAGCAAACCTTGAGATAGAGAAAAGCAAGTTCCTTCACTTTCAGTTGACATTTAGAGTCACCGACCCAATAGAGGAAAGAGAAGGAAGAGAGAGAGAGAAACGGTGGAGGCTGGCGGCGGGAGTGAAGGATGAGTTTGGGTTTCTGTTGTTTAGTTTGTTCGCCGCCAATGGTTATGAAGAACCTCTCAGCAATTCCGCGAATTTGGGAACCCTCCACTCCACTTTCCCGCATGAGGCTTTGAAAGAAATGGACCAGTCTGGGGCGGGTACAACAGATTTTAAAACAGGAACCGGACCTAACCCGGCCAATTTTAAACAGGCTGGTTTGGTCTGGGTACACAGGTCCTCTTTTTTTTCTTTTTTCTTTTTTTTTTTGGGGGGAAAAAACACTGAATTTTTACAGATTTTACAGTTTTACAATTTGCATGCACAGATTCAAATACAGATTTTACAGTTTGTATGTTTGTGGTGGTTTCAAGATATTATGATTCTATTCGTATTGCCGACTGGGCTTTCATCTCAGTTAGTATTTTGAAAATATTCATACTATACCAAAACATCTGAAATCTTAATTCATATTCAAGTTTCAACCAATCAACACAATGAAAAGCAATGATCAATTTGATCCATCTCAAATCTCATCAAAAATATATGACATACCACAGAACTACAGAAACAAGCCAACCCAATGTAATAATGTATTTAGCAAATATATGACAGAACCACAGAATTCCAATACTAACAGATTTCCAAACAGCTGTGACAATTTCTGAAATTCTAATGCAAATTGTTTGCAGGTGTGACAAACATTGCGGGTGGGAAATCAAATGTTGCAGGCTACAGGGATGGGGAGTAGGTTATAATCGAAGTGTTAAAGGGCTTATTAATATTAGTTATTAGAGATTTGATGTATTCTATTTTGTACAAGTATGAAATCAAAAAATTATGTAATTGAAGGGAAGAACTACAGTCCAATTCAAACCGAAAACCCACATTGAATTCAAAATTCTCCAAACGGGCACTAATCTACAGAAGGAACTCAAACCAAAAAATCCAAATGAAGAAATAAACTTTTTTCACACTGATTCCGGATTTCAATCAAGATTCAAGACACACCCTTTATCCAACACCCACTCGGGCATTTCTTCAAGCACATGGTGGGCACTTTGTTACTACAATCAACTCCATCATACATGCTATATATTTACCAGAACCAGCAGAAACTACCAATACAAAGGCAAAACAGAAAACCCAGAAGAAAATTAAAGCAACCCATCTAATCAAACACGAAGACAGCCATAACTCCAGATATTTTGGAACTTTACATCTAATTTATTGGATCTCAGAAGGGTAACGAAATTTGTAACAGAGATGTATGAGAAAAGGAAGGAATCACTTACCAATGATACGGAAGGAGGAGATGATGTCGGCGTGGTGGAGGAGACGACGAGGCGAGACCGCGAGAGAGAATCGAGTCGAGTTCGAGTACTCCAGACTCCAGTGACAGAGTCGAGCTCGAGGAGACCTAGGTCCTAGGGTAAAACTAACGGTTCAGATTGGATGTAGGGTACTCCTTAATCTCATCCGTCCATAGCAATTACAAACGGATTGGTTTGGGATCTTTTCTTTTATAAATTTAGCCCCGTCCCAACCCGTTTCTCTTATGAAAAAATTGGAACCAGCCTGTACCTGTCTTAATCCGCGGTTCCTAGACCTTTTTGCCCAGCCCTAGTTTGCACCACTATTCATAGGGATCTTTCATTTTAGTCCCTCAATCTTTTTTAATCCGAAATTGATCTAAGGAATGAAAGTTACTCTTTATGTAAAAGTTTATAGAATTATACATAATCACTTTTTTAAGACGATTTTGATAATTCGTCTACGTTTTAAGTGTCATTCATTTACTCATATGTGAAATTTTGCGTCCAAAACTAAACGTTTTATACTAAAAAAAAAAAAAAAAATTGAATTACACCTATCGCCAATCGTTGTCCACTTGACACATTTTGAAAAGTTTACGAACCAACTTGGGAGATAGAAAAAGCGAATGAGGACCAAAATGGAACAAGCATCAAAGTTTAGGGGTCAAATTCATACAGTGCTTCAAAATGAATAATGGGCTTGAGAAGGCCCATAACCCGAGTAGGAACGACCCGAACGATCACAATTTACGCACGATCCCATTATCTGTGGTTATGTGCGGAATCCTAAACCTAAACCCCTCTTTTGAAATTTGGGGGTAAATCAATTTCCAATCTTCCATAGCCCTAGAAACCCTAATTCGTAGGAACCGGACCCAAATTCTTGCCCAGCATGAAGAGGGCAATTCCATGGAGTGACGAGGAAGGAGATTCGGATTCCTCATCTGGGAAGTCATCAGATTCACCACCCTCCAAGAAAACAGCTTCACAAGGTACATATACATACACACACACCTATACATATACATATATATATATATATATATATTTGTATAAGTACTCGTTGGGGTTTTGTGATCTGTGTATTGAATTTGTTTTAGCTGGCTGCATACTCTGTTATTTCTGCAGTGAAATCTGGGAAGCCAAAGAGCAAAGTTGTGGACTTTGAGGCACTGAAGCAACATGGCTACAAGGGTGGGCCGTCTGTGCTGGGTGTGCCGCCACCGAAAGCGCCGGTGCAGGAGCCGAACTGGACTTGGTCTACCGGCAGGGAGGACGGTAAGGACGGCAAGCCCGGAACCAAGAAAACTGAGGAAGAAGAAGAATCTTATGAACAACGACAGAAGACGAGAGCTGCATTGGCCTCGGGAGAGAAGCTTGAAACTGCGCTGACCCGGAGCGATAAGCGAAACCTATCGTTTTCGCAGAAGGAGAAGAGGAAGAGAGAGCTTGGGCAGGCAAGCAGGGGGAAGAACTACGTTGAAGAAGAGAAGAGGTTGCTGAGGGATAGTGGTGTTTACTCTGGTTTTGATACTTATAAATAGTTAAAACTTTCACATGTAATTTATAATTTGTCAATGATCTTCCACAGGATTATGAAATGTCGCTTTCGACGAAGAATTTCTGGGTTTGTTGAAGACAATCTCTTCCACTTATCTTAATTACATAACTGATCATATTTTTGCGAAATCCGAATGAAAGAGTCTGCAATAAAATTAGTTATAATGTACAGGAGTCAGAGTGTTCAAAAACTAAACTGATCTGGTTAAGCACATACAGTTGCATTCAAACAACTGAAAACTCTTGGTCTTGGATATAATCCATGCATGTAGATCCCTCGTATGTAAGCCAGAAGACGATGCAAAATGCCAAGTGACATGAAAAAACTGTGGACAGCTTCTATCAGGTCTTGCTCGACAGATGAGCCTTCTCATAGTCTTGCTCGACTGATCTCTCTTCGCAAAGCCAAAGTGGTTACTGCTCTGGTGGAGATGTTGACCTATTGGGAAGAGTCCTGTATATTGCTCTGATTGTATTTGGGGTTGTTCTGCAACAACCTCCTACAAGGGAAGCCCCTACCTCACACCATTTGTTTACATACGAGACAAAATCTTCATCTGAAACCCCAGTGTTTTGCTGCAATGCGGAAAAAAGAAAAGAAAATATCAGAAGAGTTGGTGTCTCGACAAGTATATCATGACCGTAGATTTCCTGCACTAATTCCATCTTCTAGATAACAACAATATTTTGACAGATAATTACATCGAAAACATGATACAACCATAGAAATTTCACTTACCACCCACATCATTCTATCTGCATCATAGCTTTCACCACTATTTGGGTACACAATAATTGGTTTTGTAGCCACCTGAAGGAATTGAACATGAAACTAAGTACAGGAGCTCGAAAAACAGGGTCATGTTGCAATTATTTAGGAAATCATACAAATTCGTAATATATATGGAAAATATGGCATATAAAAAATGAATAGGACGTGTCATTTGCTGCCCCAACGGTTGGTCACAGAAAGTTTTAAAACTTTTTAACGATTTGATAAAAATAAGGACCATAAACTTATTCAAACGCAATACAAATATCCTAAATGATCATACCTGTGTAATTAGTGTTAACAGTCCGTGGATAAATCTAGGGGGGGTGCAGTTGATTCCAACTGCAACGACTTTATTGCATGATTCAGCAACTGAGGCGCATTCAAGGAGAGAATCACCACTAACAACATTGATGCCATCTTTAGAGTTGAAAGAAAACCACGCAGGAAGTTGCATGTTTTCTTCTTCCAAAAGCTCAGCATAAGCCTGCATAAACACCAAGCATGATTAATGGTTACTATACGTCTCTTGAGCATTAACCCATTTTCTGAATTTTATATCCATCACTTTCGGTCACAAATTTGAGTACTGACCAATCAAAAACATTAGTCACCTAATTAAACAGTTTGATCATTTGTAAGCTAGTCTAGTAGGAAGCCTAGAATTACCTGAGCCTCCAGCTTATTTGGAACCGTTTCAAATGCAAGTAAGTCAGGACCTGATTCTGCTAGGACCTGGACCCTTCTCCGATGAAAATCTTTTAAACCTCCTAGAGTCATAGCCTCACCATAATCTCCACTACCAAGGAAGAGACCAAAAATATGAATATAAATTATCCTTGTGAACATTTCAAGTTCAGACAACGATGCCCTTTCCACGCAAATAACAGCAGGAGGGACTATCTAACTTCATTTTTCAAAGTTTACTCTGGGATCAAAGGAGTACATTTCCCTACGAGAAAATTCTCTTCATATTACATCAACAATGTAGTTAAAGGCGTGCAACTATTTACATGCGAGTTTTGGGAACCAAACTCAACAGAAATAACAGCTGATGCAATGACTTTTAATAGCAGAATTGACTCACCTGTACTCAGACCCATCAGCCAAATAAGCACCATAGCTCCCCACAGACGCTGCAACTAAGATTGGCCTACGCTTGAGAATTCTACCGTTTGCACTGTCAGCAGAAGAGCATTGCGTACATCTGTCGTAATACACATCACGTGCCTCACGGGCAATTTCAACACTTTTCCGAAGCAAGGCTTCGCTCTCTTCTGTTGAAAATCCTTTGGCCTCGAAACCTTGAATGGTGGCCTGAATAGCAACTAACACTTTCAGCTTCACAAAAAAATATAAATTAAGAGAGCCATTATTAGTAACCGGCATTACCTGATAGGACGCTGTGATTATGATATCTGCACCAGCTTCAAGGTAATCAATGTGTACCTGCTCCATTACGGAACAAAACAACACGGTACATGGTCCTATTAGTTAATCAAGTGTATAAATGAATTACATTTACTTAAATCAATCTCCATTCTTTTGATTTCGTCTTAACAAAAGCTGAATCCTTTACCCCAAAAAGAAAGCACATGTTCAATCCTGCCTGACTTAGTGGTAGCGTAATGTACGAATTAACGTTGTGATCAGCTTATAGAAGTCACATTCCTCACTAAAATACATGATCAAAGCAGAGCAACAAGTTTTCTCATGTTAATCTTGGTCATTGCAAGTTTCCTTCTGATCCAAACAAAATCTGACAACTTTGGTCCAAATTCATAAACAAAAACCAAAATCCCAACAAAAAATCGAATGCTAATTCCAAAAACACAAAGCTCAAAATTGTCAAAAATTTAAAAAAAAAAAAATTCACAGCAAAATTAGCACTTGAAACTTGGCAAAAACCCATTATTCTGCACATACCTACACTCGTCAGAGCACAAAACAAAGCAATTACATCTACATTTTCTAGAGAGAGAGATGAGGGTACCGTGCGAATGAGGTGAGGGGAAGTGAGAAGGCATTTGGCGCTCCAGAGAGGATCGTTGAGGTCAGCACCGTGGCGTTCGAGCTCGGTGGCAAGTCCACCGTCGACCACCGCGATGCCGCCCGCATGCCTGAGAAAGTCCCTCATTAACGACGGCGTTTTAGCGCCGCTGCTGCTGCCCATCCCGTCGTCAACAGAAGAACCACTCTGTGAATGTGTGGGGTCAATTTTGTATTTGTAGTTGTGAGGAAACCGGAAAAACTAACTAAACCGCCAACACCTGGCTCCCACCTCTGTTTTTGCTCTTTATAGCTTTTTGGTTGCTCAAGAAATAAGAATTTACTTTTTGAAATTAGCATTTCGACCTCAAGTTTCGTACAATAACAAAATGTCCGCGGGTAACGTTCGCTTCGTGGATTAGGTTTTTCAGGAATGAAACTCATGTTTAGTGGTATTTTTTCTGCACTTGTAAATGAGAGGATTTGAATTCAGCTTTCGTAGTTGATGTGTTTCGCTCCTAAATATAATTGACTCATTATGTGGCTTGACTCAACTTTCTTTTTATCCCAACCCCAATATCTAGGTATATTTATAAACTAGTCCAAAAACTGTGGATTAAAATGTTTTCCTCAACTGTGGGAAAAGAATTTTGATGGAGAGGTAAGTGGTGTATTCAACTGAAATTTAAAAAAAAAAAAAAATCAAAAGAGTTTAAAAGATCAAGAATATTCAACTAGAATTTAAAATGAGATCATTAAAGTTTTAAGGTATTTAATTAAGATTTAAAGGAGTTTATAAAAGTCCACAGAATTTGAGTGCATTGAATCAGGATTTTAAAAGAGTGTAAAATTTTCTCTATTCAATCATGTTTTGATATAAAAAAAATGAAGAATTTTGATGGATTCCTTAGCGTATTTTAGGCTTTAACAAATCATGTCTCTCTTCTAAGGAGGAAATGGGAAAAGTCTAATATAAGAGGAGGGGAAATTGGGCTAGACCGCACAATAGATCCGCCACACATTAGGTAACGAACTCTAAGGAAGTCAAAACTTGCAAAAATGATACATCTTCAATGTCTACATTAGTCAAATCTAAGACCTTTCAATTGCAAGCAAAGAGTCACTAGACTGTAATAATAGTTAGTAAGTTGATACTAGTATTCAATTTGAAGAATGTCCCTACCAAATGTGAAGGGGGTACCTTATTATGTGCATTATTTATTGTTGGTAGGTTTCATGCCAATTGCATGTGTGCTTCATGTGGATATGGTTTGGGGGTGATTAAAAGTCCACAAGTAGCAAAAGGATATCCAGCAAATTTCCATATCCAAGATCCTAAAGGCCCACACGTATCAAGTGGAAGTGTCCTTTGAGATTTCTAGTGGAACATTAGGTAAATATGCACTGCACCACAAAAAAGTGGAAACCAGTTTGATTTTGGGTTTCTAGCAGGATTCTTTCTTTTCTTAATTTTAAAGAAAGAAATGCCCATCGATTACTCATTTTTTCTCTGCAGGACGTCTATTCTTTCTTAATTTAACTGATTTTACAATGTTAACGTCAATTTTTGTCCGATAACACAATGTTAGCGGCCACTGTTATCAACATATGATCTATATCATATCGACAATCTGTTATTTAATGAAGGATGAATGTCCTGTTTAGAGTATAACTGTCCCATCAAGAAATTACCAAACCATGACAGTAAAAGTAACAGAATAAAACTACCAGACATTGCTGTAAAAGCTTGATTTCCAAACTAATTTACAATAAGAATGAAGAAGGAACCACAAACAACAATATGGCTTTCCAAAAACGCTGTTTGTGCATTATTCAGAGATGTGAAATGATTATTCGAAGACTGACTGGTGCCTGCAGTCTAGCGCTGAACTGGTAAACTGGTTTTAATATGCACTGCACAATCTGTAAAGCTACATTACACGAAACAAAGAAGGTCATGGACCGCGAGGTGTGCCGAAACAGAAACAGCCGGTTGACTGGTCTTCAGGTATCATGCCGCCTCCCTTGCTCGTATCTATTGCATACAGCAGTTTCACAACCTCTTCCATTTCAGGGCGTTTATCCGGGCTTGCATCCCAGCATTTTCGCATGACGCTAGCCAATGTGCTCGGACAACATCTTGGGATTTCTGGTCGTAAATTCTGCCATCCAAGCATAAAGTTTTAGGACTAACATTTGGTGAACAACATAACATAAAAGCCAAAGACGAACAAGTTTTGCTACATTCGGTTAAAATGTCATAAAGCAATTAAAGCATTATGTGCAACGACAAACCAACCTGTCGCACTACTGCAGATGAGACATCAGCAAAACTTAAATTAGGATAAGGCATGTCGCAACAATAGATTTCCCATAAGCAAATACCAAAACTATAGACATCACATTTCCTGTTGTACGGCTTGCCATCAAGGACCTACAAAAACCTTGATGTTAGAATTCTAATCCAATTTGCAGGGAGGGGAGTCTATAAATAAAAGAATGTCACTCACGTCAAATTCGTTTACAACTAGATTTAGCAATGATTAATGAAAAGATGTAGGTACCTCTGGGGCCATGTACCCGAGGGTACCAGTCTCCCCAGTCATGTCCCTTGGGTTCTGAGCTTCTACTCGAGCAACACCAAAATCAGCAATTTTCAATGTTCTATGAGTATCAAGCAACATATTTTCCGTTTTGACGTCACGGTGTACAATTTTCTTCGCGTGAAGATAACTCAAACTGAGAGAACGAAACACCGAGAACCAAATCCATTAGTTTAAAACCCAAACAAAAAGACAGAATTAAATCAAGCACCAAAAAAAAAAAAAGAACCCAACTCACCCTTTGGAGAGATCCAAAGCAAGTTGAATCACAACCTTGAAGGCAAGTTTCTTTCTTCTATTCCTGATCAAGAAGTTCTTCAGCGTCCCACCGGGAACATACTCAACAACAACGCAACAAGCTCTTGAAGGAGGAGAATTATGGCTATCGTTTGATGTGTTTTTAACGGGGATTTTAAGGTTGGAAGTTCCCATTGAAGCTCCGACAAACTGTCACAAATATAATGGTTATAGTTTATTGTTAGGACAGCAAACAGTATCAAAGTTTTCATCTGAAGCTATTGTGACTTTATGCATACTGAGATGAAGAACCAATATATATCAACTTTACCTTTGGGATATTTGGGTGGTCAAGCTTATGCCAAACAGCAACCTCTTGTTGAAATGATGCCCGAAGAGCAGCAGTTTCAGCTGCCGTGGCAATACAATCCTCCCCCCAATCCAATATCTTCACTATAATATCAAGAATACATCAAGCCATGAGAACAATATTGACAAGAAAAATACAGGACAACCTATGGTTAGGGGTTCATTATTCAATCAAATAACACCGCTTATTTGTAAATTTGTATATATACCTAGGCAAACAATCACATGTATTCTTTTTCTCAAATGAAGTAAACCCCCCGAGTCTAATAACGATGAAAGTGATTGACTCCAGCATGCTAAAACCATTCTTAATAGATTCATTAACCATCTAATACGTAATCGCTAGCACCTCCTGGCAATACTTTTGGCCTGTTTGGGATCGCTATAGCACTTTTAGCATAAGTGCTTATGCGCAGAATTGTTTTCTACAGCAATCCCAAACAAGCCCTTAATACTAAACTAACAATTATAGATGATGGCGTACCGTCTACTAACTCAACAAAATGTCAAATTTCTCAATTCTATTTCACTTCTGGTGAAAGTCATTGACCACTAAACTATGTTTTAAAGTTTCAAACATGGAAAACTTGGGTATGCAAACAAATCCTGCACATCATCATAATTGCAACAAAGAAAAAGAATCGAAATTGAATTGAAACCAAATCAAAGTACCTGCAACATCTTGGCCATCATAGGCACCGCGGTACACGGTGCCGTAGGTTCCATGAGCGATAACATGTCTTATATCCAACTTACCCAAATCAATCTCCCACTCTTCCATCTTTGCATTCACCTCCCTCTCCCTCTCCCAACCCCTACTCAAGTGCTTCTCCAACTGGATATCCCAGCTCTTGAAATCGATCTTATCGGCACGAAAAAACACCTCTTTATCAACCCCTCCTCCCACATCCTTCCCCTTCGAACCCAAACTTCTCGACCTCTGAATGCCCTCAACTTCCATTTTTCACCAACTTCCCCAACTTTTACTCAAAAAATCGAACTTCAAAATCCCAAAACAAAGAAACCCAATAACGAACACGCGATTTCGACACAACCCATGAATCAAAACCAACCAAAAACTTGTTTGTGCTGATCAAGTTCAAAACTTTAACACGAACAGACACCAAATCTCAAAACTTCACAACATAAAAACTTACTTAAGCCCCCCGAAAACTCGATTGAAACTTTGACAAAGGAACTGGAACAACATAAACGAGCCCAGAAATCTTGGAGATGAAAAATCACATCAAATCGAGAAAAAAAAATCGGATGGGAAAAAGAAGAGAAAAATAGAGTTTTGGGTACCAAAGGAGAGCAAGAAAGACAATAGAAAGGGAGTGGATAGAATCGGAAAGAGAGAAAGAGAGAGAGATCAAACAAAGACTAATATTTGGAAAATTTACGCGCCGATTAGAGCAGTAAATTTATGGGTCAGGTAAAAAATCCCAGCTTGATTACGGAGTTTATTTACATTCTTTTTAAACTGCCTTACCGGTATTTTATGATTTCGTCCGATAAATTTTTTAGTGTATCGAAAATACAATTTAATAAAATAAGTATAATAATTTAATTAGTGTAATGTTTCGTGTTCTCATCATGTAAATTTCTCTCATTTAGAGATTGTCCGTCCAAATATATGACTCCTCGATAAAATCAACAAAAATATGGTTTGTTTGATCCTAAATCATATGATTAGAGCCGCCTAATCTTAACTTCATCGAATATAAAAAATTTCTAATTTATTTTACAAATTCTAATTTTTTTAGTTTTTCTAACTGATTGGGATTGCATCATTTAATTTTGATAGGTGAGAAAAACGAAAACAAAGAATATTTTTGTTTGATGTCAACTGTGCAGTGCAAAAATGGAAATAAAAGAAAAAAATAATAATAAAACAAGTTGAATTTTCGAAGTCACCGACGCCACAAATATTCAAATGTCTAGTTCGTTCGTTGGTACCTAAAGTTCGGTAGGTATATTCGCCGGACAACGTAGTTCTTTCAAACACATTCATCAATTTTTAATTTTGATTTGAGAGAGCTATATAATGAGACCGTCGTAATTAGATATCAAACATGTCAAACTATTAAAATTAAATGTGATAACTGTCAGTTGAACAAATTCATCAGTACTATGACTTATAAGGTCACTAGTAAAAGGTCATGTACAGAGCTCCTTATACATAAACTTGTATTAATGACTCCAGCCGCAATGAGGACAAACCCATTCCATAAAAATCTCTCCACTTATAAATGAAAAATAATAATGCTATGTTAGATGGTATTGCTAGTGACTTGATCTGGGTTATTTTAGGGTTGGTTTAACAAAATCAACTCTAACCATGTTTCTCAAAAAAAACGCTTTTTCATTAGGTGCTTCTTTTTTTTTTTTTTTTTTTTTTTTTTGGCTAAAATCACTTTTAGCGTTATAGCTTATTAAGCATTTACCTGTTTTTTTTTTTTTTTTTTTTTTTTTTTTTCACAGCTGAAATAAAATCAAGCGTTGACAAACTATCATGATGCCTTTTTCCCCTATTCCCCTAATTTTTGAAGAAATTGAATGACATCCCCCTTTGTCCCCTACAACACCCATCAAGTTGACCAACAAAAAGAATAAAGTTAGGCGCTAGAAGAAGAATAAATAAATGTCTAGGCACTTTCCATGTCATTTTCCGAAATGGTTCTTGACATTTGTAAGGATTTAGAAGGTAGCCAAATTTTAGACGTGTGAAGAGACGGTTAGCCAAATTTTTGGTCAAGAGATTCGAGCATTTGTCGAGAGGTCTCTAGGGTTTTTCTTAGCAGAATGATCCCTTGGTTTAATTCGCTTAACTCACTTGAGACCCAAAAAGGGCATATCTCTCTAACTTGAAGAATTGTACGATGCTAGAGATTACTTCTTTATGAAGAAAAAACAAAGGGAGTTTTAACGAAAAACCTACAATACTGTTCACTTTAACGAAAAACCACATTTTTACACTAAAAAATCAATCATGGTATCATTCACTTTATCCTTTATTTTGTCTTTATCGTTAAAACTCAAAGTTTTCAAGCCCCTTTCATTAGTTTTCCTAAAAACAAATGAATTAGATGCCAAAATTAAGCTGTCATTAACTCAATTAGCCAAGGGATCATAAAAACAATTGGTGTCCTTTCTCGATCGACCCCTGGGTAAGGTTGAAAAAGTTCATCGATTGTGACTTAGGGCAGTTAGTTAGAATAGTGTACCCAACCCCATGGCACCCGAGTTCAAATCGTCAACCCGTAAATTAGAGTATTTACTAACAATTTTCTTTTTCAGCCTAAAGTGACGGTAGACAACAATTAGCTACAATTTGTTGACCAAAAGCACAAGCTAGCTGTTAATTTGAGACATTCTGATGCAGGAATGGATTGCATTTTTGGAAATTCGGCTGATGAATCTTATGCAATATAAAAATTTCAAGGGCATAGAGTGATCTGGAGCTATAGAGATATTAACTGGAAAATGAAACAAAATAAAACCGAGCGCAGTGACGTTCTAGAATTCATACAGCCGACCAACTTAGTGGGATAAGGCTTTGTACAACCGGCTCGCTAAGTGAGGTAAGGCTTTGTTATTGTTGTTGTTGTTGACATGAGGTTTCTTTTGTAAGATTTTATTATATGAATGACTATATACAAACAAGGCTATGAATTAGTTTCTTACAACTGAGATGGTGTCAAAGTTTCGATAACTCACTCTACTCGAGCACAACTTTGGAGTGCGGTCACGGCTCTTGCCGAAACTTTTCAGAAACGATAGACTTGATGATGTATTGTTACTCCTGCACAGATGCATATTATTCATTCAAAATTTAGAGCCCAAACATGGAAGTGTGCAAGTTATGATGACCACGTTAAATCGTAGGCCAAAAACTCATGCATAGAGAACAGTTAAATGAAGTTCAAATCTTAGAAGTCTGTAAACAAGGACCGGAGATATATTTTGTCCAGAAGTGCCTTGCACTTCAAAGCATTAAGCCGTCCTCAAAAAGAAGGGGATAAAAGAAACGGTTGTCATGTACTGTTTCAGGACAAAATGCCACACAACACATGCAACCGCGTTCTAATGATTCTGTGCTACCAGCTTTTACGCTTGTTCATGTAATTCTGTTTCAGTAAAGCTTCAATAACTCATACAGATGGTAGTAGAAAGCAAACGGCTAACCTTGATACTGAAGAGAATACTACCATCAGAAACCTGCTGGCCAGCTGCTAGATGAAGCCCGTGGACATAGCCTGCTGATGGTGCCTTTACAACATGCTTCAAAATGTAAAAAACGGAAAGAAAAAAAAGATAAGAATTGATTTTGAATATTGCACATGGAAATAAAGTGTGGATGCACTATGCAACAGTAGCAGCAGTACAAACCTCCATCTTCATTGCCTCTAAAACTAGTATGGGCTGTCCTCCTTCCACCTTTGTCCCATCCTTGACCAGAAGCTTGACCACCAACCCAGCCATGGGCGCAACAACACTGCCCTGAGGGTATGATGATTTCTCAAATCTGGGCTTATGTTCGAGATCATCATCATCATACAATTCAAGACCAATTTTCTGCTTGAAATGATGATGATGTGACCCATGCCATATATGAATGAGCTTGGTTTGATCCTGCAAGCGCAAATTGGAATCAACGAATTAATGATGGTTGAACTCCAAATGAACAGAAATAAAAAAAGTGTAATTCTCTGTGAGGGTGCATGCAGAGAACGTTATTACCTTGGAGTAAACAGCTAAGCAAACATCCGTGATTACACCATCAGCTTCAACTCGGAAATCGTGGTTGCCTATGCAAGTTGCTTTGACCTCCACACATTGGGAACTGTCTTCTTCTTCTTCTGCCTGCACAGACGTATAGAAACTTGCTGAGGGAATGACTTTATGGAACACAGACAAGAAACAACTTGCACATAAGATACTATAAGGGAAGTTGCAAATCTGGCCAATTAGTGTAAGACTACCTCAATCAGATAGCTCCCATCTTCTTTATAAGTGGTTGAAATCTTCAGTAACTTTGAGCCACTGCTATCGTATTCATTTTCCCACTCAAGCTCCATAGTATGTCTAGCACAATGATGGACTCTGAAGGGGGGAGAAGAATACCATATGGAGTTTATGCCTTTGCTACCTGAACAGATAAGGAGAAATAAATGTTATAGCGGTTTAAGAACTGAATATGTTTGAAGATTAAAGACTTCCAATTTACCAGGAAGATTTTCTCTAAATTCAGAATTTTCCTTTTCAATGAGACACGCAGCTGCGAGTGTAGCACCAAATCTAGCAGCACCAGCCACTTTGTCCACCAGCAGTGAATTACTAGGGTCGACAAAGAGGTCATCTTTAAAGCGTTCAATAAAATGGGTTTCCACATCACCATTTTCAAATGCCTGATGGTTAGCAAGTTTTAGCAGAAAATTGATGTTGGTTGGTAAACCTGCAACCTGTATATGAAAATTAGCATTAAAACACAAGGATCCATAATATACTGAAACTACAGGATCAATATGAATTTGCAATATGCCTTCCACATGTCACGTGTTGTCTACGGAGCCATTTAATGTTTTAAACTTTGCTGATTCATGGGCATCAGATATCTAATTCATCTAAAAAAGATAGCATGACATTGAATGATTGCAAAATGTACTTTAATGTGCAGAGGATGCAACTTGAGAATTGGTTGTACCTGAAACTTTGACAAACAATCCTTCAATTTCACCAATGCTGCAGTGCGATTTTCTCCCCATACTACAAGCTTAGCAATCATAGGATCATAATGCATGCTAACAGTGTCTCCACGTTCAACTCCAGTCTCAACTCTAACTGCTCAAGGACAGACTCAACGTAAGAAACAAATACAAATAACCAAGGGACAGGAGATGATAATAATCAAGGACTTGTTTAGCTGTGATATCCCTGGATAGCAACTGGTGCTCAAACAATCTATGCCAACTTGAGTGTTTGGGGATGGATTTTTTACTTTAATTTCGATGAATCATATAAGTTTTGTACTGAGACATACCTGTTGGTGAGACTGGAACGTGATGATAGTGATGAAGGACTCCAGTTGCTGGAAGGAATCCTTTCGGTACATTTTCAGCATATATTCGGGCTTCGAATGCATGACCTTCATCATAATGAATAATTATATCAAAAACCTAGAGGCTCAATAAATTTTTGCTTTCAACATATAGAATGAGCAAACTTGCATTAGTTCTGTTGATGCCTAAAGTTATTTAGCTTATATACCACCAAACAACACAAACACACAAGAACACAAAATATATATCGCTCACACAAATTGGGCTACATCCATGTTGGTGTAGTTTCTGTTTCCACTATGATAACGTAGGTTACATTGTACACGGAGGCTTGAGAGCCTTTGGGAGAGAAAAAGAGTTAGGGCTAAAATGAGAGTAATGGGAGGTCATCCCTAGAATGAGGATGAGCTTCTTGATGTAAGCTAAATAGTAAGGCCCAGATAGGGTCAATGAATTCTAAGATTTTTCGTATCCAAGTTATTACGAAATATTCATTTTATGTCATAAATGAGCTTCTTGATTGCCTGATAAAATTCATCAAACAAATTTTGGCATCTAGGGAATATTTTGTAATTTGAAATTAATAGCACAGCACTTTAAGGTACCCTTGTCATAGAACAGGCAATATCTGACTAAGTCAAATCAATATAGAACCACCAAGCACTCAGCTAAAAGCTAGTCAAGAGTCATTTTGGAATAGCATTGTATATGTAATCACACATAAGCTTGGCTAAGACCTCTTTCATGACTTTTTCTTCTTCACAATTGTTCAAGAAAAAAAAAGGTCACCTGATAAGGGGATCTGTGACTGACTAATAGGAAGATGTTCTCCGTTTGCAACACGAATTTGCCACTCTACAAGATCTTGGCCGACAATCATCTCAGTCACAGGATGCTCAACCTGCAGAAACATCAAATAACCTATAAGATTCTGGTAATTTCATTGACTGAAATAGAATAGAACAGAATGGTTAAAGGCTTAAAGCACCTGAAGTCGAGTGTTCATCTCCATGAAATAAAATTGGCCTGAGACTGTATCAACTATAAACTCCACAGTGCCAGCATTGTGATAACCAACTGCCTTTATTTATCAACAGAGACTTCAAAGTTTAGGGATATAGAGAGATTGTACGCTTTTATTTGTAGCCTGAGAATTGAGAGAAACGTGTCTACATAATCTGGAGAAACTATTACTTCCCCCAAACTGTGAGCCGAAATTTTGTAAATTATAAGGATATAGAGAGACTGTAATTACAGTTAGCTAACTTCTAGCTTTTGATGGGGGCTAAACACTCCATGCACAAAAGTAGTGACCCATGTTTAGATAGAACTCAGGTTGGCTAAGTATCATAAAACAAGAATGGTGATCAGTAAAGGCCATCATTCTTAATCTAATCAGGGGCCATTTGTGTATCAGGTATAAAACAGATGACTATTAAAAGTACCTCACCTTGGCAGCAGATACAGCAGCTTGACCCAAGTGAGATCGAAAGTCATTAGAAACATTTGGCTGCACGAAGGAATTTCCATTACAACTCTACTTTTACAATGACAAATCTACACTGACAAGACAGGAAATGAACATTACAGCTGGGGCTTCTTCAATTATTTTCTGGTGTCTTCTCTGGACGCTGCAATCTCTTTCATATAAATGTAGAACATTCCCATGTTTGTCCCCAAAGATCTTCAATATCAAACAATCACCAAAAATCAAATCATACGGTTTTATGTGAAATTGATATGACAATGAGCTGAACTTTACTGGATACAGTATCAACTACAATATACTTCTAAGTTGTGCTGGGCGTTACCTGAACTTCTATGTGCCTTGGCCGTGTAATATACTTCTCCAACAATATTGTGCTAATGCCAAAAGAAGCAGCAGCCTCACGTTGTGCTCCCAAAAAAGCTTCGACAAATTCATCAGGACTCTGCACAATCCTCATACCCTAGAAATATCTAAAGTATAAGAACATTATGTGAAGAAACAGCTGAACTATAAGAACATCTTGTGAAGAGAAACAAAAAAATATCTCGACTTTTGACTACGGGAAGCCAAGAAGGGATACCTTTCCTCCACCTCCATGAGTTGGCTTTATTAAGATTGGATATCCAATCTTGTCAGCTTCTAACTTCATTAGATCAATATCTTGATCGTTACCATGATATCCAGGCACAAGCGGCACCCCTGCCGCGCCCATTATTCTCTTTGAAGCACTGATAACCATATTCAACATTAATAGGAATGAAATGATCGCTCAGCAAACAAGAAAATAAACCATTTAGAACGGAAACAAACCCATGACACAACCAATTCATGCAGCATCAGTAAGGAGGCAGTGACACATACCTTTTATCACCCATGTCGCGAATGGCAGATGCCGGAGGCCCGATAAATGTAAGACCTTTATCTTCACAAAGTTGAGCAAAGTCAGCACTCTCCGACAGAAAGCCATAGCCAGGATGGATAGCCTAGTAAGCACAAAAACAAAGCTATCCAATCCAATAAGCACAAATTTTAGAAAAATAAAACCAATTTCCAATCCTCCAAGCAGTAATACAAAATTTCCAAAACAAAAGAGCCATGTGCTAATCCAAGAACAAAATTATCCAATCCAATAAGCACAGATATTAGAAAAGTCAAACCATTTTCCAATCCTCCAAACAGTCACAACAATTTCCGAAACAACATATCCATGTACTAATCCAAGAACAAAAATCCATTTCAATTATCAAGCAAACATATCCAATCCAATAAGCACAACTTTAAAGCTTTAAACAATCAAATTATTTGTTAATTCTCCAAAAATATTGAAACTTTGGCAATGCAATGAGCTAATGAAGATATTTGAGCTACTGAGCTATATTCTCGGCGATTCTGACCTGAGCGCCAGTACGAACGGCGGCGTCGAGAATCGAGGAGGCGTTGAGGTAGCTGAGCCGTGCCGGTGGAGGTCCAATATGCACGGCCTCGTCGGCCGATTTGACGTGAAGCGAATGCCTATCGGCGTCGCTGTAAACGGCGACTGTTTGAATCCCGAGTCGCTTGGCGGTCCGCATGATCCTGCAGGCTATTTCGCCTCTGTTCGCTATCAGAATCTTCTCTACTCTCCGCGTCTCAGAGGCCGAGAAATCTCTTACTGTTACTAACCGGACATGGAAGGCTTTGCCGGAGAGCTTCCGGCGGAGGACGGTGGCGAACGACGGCATCGTTTTGGTTTGAGCTCTGCGAGTGTGACGCAGTGGAGACAGTATACAGGGTTCGTGTTTTTGTCGTGTTGCGCACTTGCGTATAGAAATTATTATTTATTATTATTATTTTTTATTTTTTATTTTTTAGGATAATTCAGAGCATGGGTTTGGGATGGGATTGTTTGTGATAAACATGGAAACTGACACTGATGAGGTGCTTGCCTGGCAAAACTATCCAATCCGATACCAACTCCAATTTGGGCTCAATATATTTGGGCTTCGCCGGGCTACTTGCATATTATTTTTGGGCTTCATTGGGCTTATACAAACAGTAAGTTTTGTTCTTTCGACAAATGACTGTGGATGTGCACTTAGAAATCAGAACCTCGTCCAACAAAGTGGAGATTCAAGCGATACTAGATCAAGGGTCGTAGGTAGTAAATTAGAGAATCTTCAAAGGAGACGGTAAAAAATTCAAATATGTATTAACAGTAAAAAAAAAAAAAAAAAAAGACAGCAACAATATTTTTCAACTGAAAAGCCAATTTTGATGTGTCATGATGTGGAATGACAGCCATCACATTTGCAGCCAAAATTAACAGCAATTTGAAATTATGTTTAATTGACTATTAATGTTTTACCATTATTATTATTTTGTGTTCTAAAAATATTTATTATTACTTTTAATTGATTATTAAAGGCTTTTAATTTGACATATCAGATGGAGAGCAAATCGAAAAATGTCCAAGTGTCATATAAGCTATCAAATTTAAATTTTATATTTAAAATATGATATCTCTTGTAGATCATTTATGATGAAGAAGATGGTTTGTTTTACTTTCATTAGGCCTTCCACCATCCGAAAAAGTATGTGTGGTACCAATAATATAGGAATCAAACTCTTACGGTGGGTTGAAAAATCTAAAGTACTAACACACAAGAAAGTAGGTATGTTATACCTAAACAACCAAACATAAAACCACCATGAGAATCATTTATCTAATCCTTGAGTAACCAAATGTCATTCTCATATCTTTATCAACCATCAGTTATTTTCTGACTTATCGTATCCTAAGTAAGTACACATACCTTAAAGCTTTAGGGGAAAATCCCCATCTTAGCTACTTAGACATTATACACAAATCAAAGATTTGATATATGCATGGGACAATATTTACAAGAATATTAGTTAGTGGGTCAATTAACTTTTTCTATGTTAGAACAAAATAACAAAGGTTTGATTGATCAAGAAATGACAAAATGCAAGGACCGGCTATTATCCCAAGAGGCAACAACCCTAGCTATTATTTCCAATGGAGAATCATCGTTTGCGTGTCATCTATCGAAGCTTGTGATTAAGATGGAGAGCATATGCATCATCACCAGCCTCACACTTGTCCACACTTTTACCCAACACCATCATGGCATTCGCAACCATATGATAAAATGCAATTTAGAATCTATGACATGTTTGCTTTGCTGGCTAAACCAATCCAAATGTATAGATCTAGAATTTACCCCCGTTAATATATTCTATATATGTACTTTCAGAAAGGGCCAGTTAGTTGCTCACTTGTTAGCTTTTTAGCAAAAATGTTCCGTTGAGGTGGTTATAACTCATTATTTTGATCTTTGATATTAAAAATCAATAGAAGTAGTCTCTGAGTTTGTCCACAATAAATCATTTTAATCATTTCGCGAAAAAAATCTATCAATATTTTTGTTAAGTGGATGGGTTAGTTTGATAAACATACCATTAAAAAGGTAGTCACGTGGTTGTTCACGTGATTGACAGATATTTAACAAAATGATTAAAATAATTTACGATGAACAAACTTAGAGGTCATTTATGTCGATTTTCATTGTTAAAGATCAAAGTAAAAAATTACGTTAATTTCAAAAATCATTTTGGCTATAAAACCCTCACTTATTTCAGCCCTTCATTGATTTGTCTTAATATAGTACGATACATTTCACTACCTGTTAAGTGAAAACTTTTTATTTTAACTTTTATAAATAACGAATCCGATATTAAGTTAGGATAAATAACTTATCGTGTAGCTTAAATTTATTGCATGTGTGTGAATATGAATATATAGTTCGTAAAAGTGGAGGACTTCCTATGTGATAGGGATTGGTGAGGGTAGTTCGTATTGGTGGCTGACAAAGTTGGCACCTAGGTTTGGACGCTGCATTTGTCTTGTGGTCAGTCCTAGAAGCTCCCACTAACATAGTGCACTGTGTATCTTGCTTGCTTGTTCTCACACTTCACATGCGCACGCTATTCAACCAACTCTTAATTAAACGGGGTAATATACATTAACGGTTGAGAATCGTCTACTGATATTTAGACAATTAGTCAAAGGCTCTTTTACTTTATTATAACTACTTTTTTGTTTTTGCAATTTTTAAAACGTCTACAAATTACATGCATCAACGATTGATAGTCACTCATTAAAACATAAACGAATAACTGTAACATTCTTCTTCTTTTTAAGAACTATATTTATGCATCAACAGCTAAAACTCACATCATTTCACTCCTTAACTCATAAGTGCTCTCCAAAAGCACTATTGAGCTTCTTCATCACTATGATTACTTCATTCTTGTTGTAGTAATTATATGTTATCCTAGAGATATATAGAGGGTGTGTACAAGCATAACTGAAACTTTGATTTTGTAGGGTTTAGCCTAGCCTCCACGCAAGTTTTGTGAAACCATGTGGCTTGGTGACTTTTTTTCAAGTCACCATTTGCTTTTGCTTAAAAAACAAGCAGATCAAAATTTCTGGAAATAGCAAAGTCTCATTGCCTTAGCCAAAATTCTATATCTCGAGCTAATGTTCAACTTGCAAGGAGAGACTAATGCTCTCAGTCACACTCCAATTTTCCAACCATGCATGGTGACCCTAACGTAGAAGACACCCTCTCTCTCTCTCTCTCTCTCTCTCTCTCTCTCTCTCTCTCTCTCTCTCTCTCTCTCTCTCTCTCTCTCTCTCTCTCTCTTTTCAATTTAAACCTTCATTCTTAACTAGAGATTTTTCTGTGTGTTGAGGCGCCTGTTACATTAATTGTTATAATACAAACAACGTTTAAAATATCAATGCAAGTAAAAAATGATATGCAAATTTATGAAAATATCGATGTTGATATCAGTTACATTCGACGGAAAATTATGGAAATTTGCACTAGGGTAGGTATATCAAACTCATTCAGATTTAGTCGAAATTAGAGAAAATTTTCTAAAGTTTGAAAGAAGTAATGGATTCCGGCAAAAATTGTATAGTGAATCAGTTAATATCATCGATATTCATTACTATGGTGGGTATATCAAACTCATTCAGATTTAGTCGAAATTAGAGAAAATTTTCTAAAGTTCAAAAGAAGTAATGGATTCCGGCAAAAATTAAATAGTGAATCAGTTAAGATCATCGATATTTATTGATTTTTCTATATCTCGCCGATATAAATGAAGTTTCCATTTCACCCTCTTTTCATATCCTTCATTTTTCAACCGAAATATCGACAACTTCATAGATGTTTTAAACATTGAATGGTTGGAAACTTGAAGAAATTTTATTTCAATTAATTATATTATGACACTTGTGTACCGACCTTCTTCTCAGCACATAAAAAAAATTCATTATGGACCATCCTTTCTAATTAGTACTTGATTGTTATCTAACGGTCAAAGCCTCCAGAGCTTGGTTTTTGTGTGGCCTTTTTCAGTTTTTTGGGAGGCTGCTAATTCTGGACACCTTTATTGAATAATTCATAATAATCAAGTAATCAAATCTAGATATTATTCTTTTCTTTTTTTATATATAAATAATTCATCCTTTAAAATCCCTTTCGGCACAAGAGTCTAAACAATATCACTTCCCACTCATATAGACTTTTGAGAACCCTAGCAACCAACAAGATGATCAAACCTAATTTTGATCCCTTTTCTAATCTCTTCGTTTCTGCCAATTTAGCATAATTTGTGTAGATTTATACACTTAAGGCAACAAACAACATAGTCATGGTAATTATCTCTATCTTAATTAAGACATATTATCGAAATTTATGATAACGGACATCTCGTGATCAAACTAAAAGGAAGAGCTCTCGTTTCTTTTTTTCTTTTTAAAGAACATGGGTTTGTCTTCAATAGTCCAACTTCAATTTCTTATGACTATCTTTATCGTTTATTTTTTAAACTACTCAGTATTTTCAGATTATAAAATAAAAAATGGAAAACTTTTACAAAAGGAAAAAGGTTCGAGAACTGTAGATTAACTCGGGTGATGGAGTCATATGGGTGGACAACTACTTTTTCAGGTTCCTCAACTCGATGGGTGGACAGCTACTTTTTCAGGTTCCTCAACTAGTGTTATGATTACACCACGCTTGCTCTCTAACACTATAACGGTTTGGTTTTTTTTTATTTTTAAATAAATTAATTACTAACCTTGTTTCAACTTTATATTTGAACCATTTCATTTACAGTTACATGCAAAATCGTGGTTAACCTGTAATTATTGTGAGGATGTGAAGGTAAAAAAGTTCAATATCGATAAAAGAAAAACTTTGTAAGAGCTTATAAAAGCTTGAGTTACTCTCCACATTGTCAATTAATTTTATAGTAGAACACAAGCTTAACCCAAAAAAAAAAAAAAAAAACCATTCTATAGCCCCAACACTTTGTATTGCAGGCAACTTCTCTGTACTAGTAGTTCTGGTTAGCCTTCTTGGCTAAGCTCTCACCTGGGAGTATTTTTGCTCATCACCATAATTGTGGCGTATGATTACCATACACATAATCATTTGCTCCTTCTAAGTAACTCTAATTAACTTTCACATTAAATGTTGTTTTTCCAAATTTGAAAAAATTAACTAAGGTTAAGTAAAAAGGCACATGGCAAATGATTAAGTATATAGCGAGCATACACCAAGGTTCTCAACTTGCCCGACTCTAGCATTGTTGTTTCATAAGGGGGTACTTTCCCACTGGCTTCCTTCTCTTGGTGGTTGCAATTTAAATATGTGGAGTGTTTGTTTGAGAACGATGAAATTTGTTTATTTTGTTTTTGTGACTTGGCTAGGTTTTCTCTTAGGAGTTTTC